GTGCCCCCGTCCTGCTGTTGATGTCAGCCTGGCGTCTTCTCAGCAGAGACCAACTGGAAGGAGAAATAGTGTCTTTCTCTTGATTTCTGAGGAAGCAAGTGTCCTTCGTTTCTAAGATGATGAAATATGATGCTTGTAACACATTTGCCTTCTACCTGGGGAAAATGTTCGGTGGAAGTTCTGTTGTGTTGTGTTGTTGTTGCATTAGGTGCCGTCACGTCACTTCCCAGCTCATAGCACCCATGTGACAGAGTCAAACTGCCCCGTAGGGTTTTCTGGATTGTACTCTTTACTGGGGCAGGTTGTCAACTCTTTGTCTTACAGAGCCGCTGAAAACTCTCACTGTCGTCAAGAGGGTTCCAACTCCTCGCGAGCCCTCCTTGGGTCTCCAAGGCAGTTTCTCTGCAGAAATAGCTTGCCCAGTTTTCCTTCTGAGGAGAGGAGCCACTAGGTGGATTCAGATTGCCAACCTTTCTGTTAGCAGCTGACCGCTAATCGTTGTGTAAGGCTCCTTTCCTGTTGCTTTAGTCGGAACTACAAACTGTCAGCTGTAATTGCCATTGTTTGACTTTCATTCCTAGTCTTGACCTCATTCAATGATTCACAGCAGTGCCTTTCAAAGAGCTGGGAAGGCAGTGCTGACAGACATGTTGCAGGTGACCTCGGCGCTGATTGCAGCAGCCGGTCGGTGTGCTGCCGCTGACTGTACTCAGTAGCATCTGAGTTACATCTGCTTCCCTGACCACGATCACTTTTATCAGTTACATTAATTTTTTGGATTTAATTATGTCCCTTCTGTTTGTAAAGCTGCTCAGCCCAACGTGCACAACTGTTGTCCTGTGTAGTTACAGGTAATGTGTGTCAGCAGTTGCCAGCAATGACAGATGAGGGCTGACGCCCGTCGTGGACCACAATCTGCCTGACACTGCTCTGCGTGGAGTTTGTCACTTCAAGGGACATGTCAGCTGCACGCCCTTTGTCATTAATCACATTACTGCGTTTTATTAGAATAAAGAGCCTCTTGGGAATGGGGTCTGCGTTCTTTCCCATCAGGAGATTGATGGATTCTGTTGCTGAGGCCGTGGTACCCATGCTGAGACCACACCCTTGTGGATCCGTGGTGAGCCCCTGCTTCTCTCTTGCGGGCAGAGCCCTGGACTTTATACCCCTGTTACTCGAGTACTTAACGTTTCCACCTCCTGACAAACACCAGCTGAGATAGACTCTGAGTGTGAGCGCTGATGGTGGCGGGTGAGCCATGGACAGCTGCACAGGGGTGGGGCCAGGGCTCGGTCTCCACGAGGAGTGAGTCTGACCAGCAAGGACTGCTTCCTGGCTATGTGTAGCCAGTGCCTCCCGACCAGCATTTCTTCACCTCTGTCCTTGTCTTCCAGAGCAAATGCCTGCTCTCTTGCGCTCGCATGGGACACCCGGGAGAGGTTGGGTCTCAGGGCGTCAGTTACTGCAGGGTATGATCTGCCACCTTTTGGTTTCTCTGCCCAGATTGACCTGGGTCTGTGATGGTTGGTAACAAGATAAGTAAGGAGGATTTTCCAGTACCCATTTGCAACTTGTAAGTTTTTCTTACAGAACAGCGCTGTGGTGGTTTGGTACCATCCGTTGGCTCCCCCTTGTGGCTGCGCTGTGTAAACCAGAACAACACACGTGCTGGTCCTGTGCCGTGCCGTCATCAGTGTTGGTTTGAGCCCATATGAAAGAGTAGGGTGACAATTTCACTTAGGTTGTTACGTAAATATCAGAAAGCAAGCAAGCTGCTGCTTCTATATTAATTTTAAGTTGTTTTCCTAAACCTTGTTAGGTTGTACATGCTGCTGTCTAGTGATCGGTCTATTGATCGTACGTGAGGACCGGGTCGGGAGTGAGACAGTCACACCTTAGAGAGCTCAGAGCCCTGATGAGATCTACTGCTCTTCCCCCCTCCCCAGTCTCTGCTGAAAGCCACCCTGTGGGTAGTTTAGGAAGCCCTGGTGGTGCAGTGGCTAAGTGCTCAGCTACAAACCAACAGGCCAGCTGGTTGGACCCGACAGTCTGTGCCTGTAGATTGCAGCCTTAAAGACCCTGCAGGGCGGCTCTGACTCCACAGCAAGGGGTGGGTGAGCCACAGGGATTTCAAACCCAAGGGCCGCTTTCACCTCATTTCACGTGTGTTGTCTTCTCTCTCCTTCTGTGTCCTCTTCAGTGTCATCCGGCTGGGGAGAGATGCCTAACGTCCATTCAAAGGCCGAAACCTCCTGGGGAGAGCCGTCCTCCCCCTCCACCCTGGTGGACAACGGCACTGCAGCGTGGGGCAAGCCCCCCAGCAGCGGCAGCGGGTGGGGCGAGCATCCTGCTGAGCCAGCCGTGACCTTCGGACGAGCCAGCGCCCCTGCTGCTACCCCAGCCCTGTGCAAACCAGGTGAGGCCGGCGTCCTCGGCCCCACTGGGCCACTTAGGGCTGGGGTAGCAGACTCTGTGTAGAGAGGAAAGTGTGATTGGGTTTTAAGAATTCATGTTTTAGGGACTACACCCCTCGTTTACACGTTGAAGAAAACGGTTAAATACGAACACGTCTGATCCAGGAACATAAGGAATGGCATCCACAGAATTCCATCCGCTCCCATTGAAACTAACGAATCAAAAATGATCTCGTGTGGACGTTCATACTGCTGATAGCAGCCGCACTTCTTTCTGGGTGCTTCGGGCCTACTGCTGTCAGCAATCCAAACTTGCTAAGTCAACAAACATGCCCCTTTTGAGTTTTTGAAAGCATATGGTAATTCACAGTCGTGGGACACTTGCTACCATGCTGTTGTCTGGCAAACATGACGCTCCAGGGTTATCCTTAAGCCACTTGTGAAAAGACAGCCTACAGCATTTCCCTCCCTTTTACGTCTGAAAAGGTAATGCGTTTACATCCAGAGTACATTCCCTGTTCTCGTATGTGTCCAGGTGATGCGTGCCAGGTGGGACTCTTGTCACGGGGTATTCTGCATGATTCTTCGCACAGTGAAATGAATGGTGGGTTGTGGATTTCAGTCCCGTTTGACAGTAAAATTAGCAGTCAGGTGGCCGCAGAAGCTTCCCGTTGTTGTGGCCATCAGTAGATGCTGTAGCTCTGGAAACGTGACTTCATTGCTTAGTAGCTTAGTCTGCTAACAGTGGGTCGAGTGTTCCTCCTGGCACCGTCATAGTGGATGGAAGCATTGGTTCCACTCGTACTGCTACTTACTGAAATGTCTAAGGGGTCCAGAGCTTCTGGGTCTGTGGCTTCACATCGCATTTATAGATGGCATAGCCTCTTGTTATCATGTCTCTCTGGGGTGCGGTTATCAGAGACCCCGGCGCTCAGGCCCAGCCTCAGACCTACTGCCTTTAATGTGATCCTAGTTGATTCTCAACTATGGTGATGTCTGGGAGCGCTGGGCTGACCCACTCTCCAGGTTTGTGTCAGCTGGTGCCTGAGAGCCACATGGAGGACAGGGACATTTTCAGGACTCTACATTTTGGTAAGAAGCTCTGGTGGCGTAGTGCCTAAGGCACTTGACTGCTAACCAGACGGCTGGCGGTTCAAACCCACCAGCCACTCCTCGGAAGGAAGGTTGGGCAATCTACTTCCATAGTGATACTGCCTCGGAAACCCAAGGAGGGGTTGCTGTGAGTCACATCCGACTTGATGGCATATGACAACAACAACAACAACAACACATTTTAGTAAGTCTCTCATACCCTTCTCCTGCAGCTCCCCAGGATTTACTCTGAGGATATCTTTGTTTCAAAATAATTTATAATCTGTTGTGGGAGATTAGAATTCCACAGACTATAGATTTCTGGAGTTTCAAGAAGGAAATGTGTACAAATGTACATGCATATTCTGTGTCTCGTCAAGAGCGCTGGTGGCACAGGGGTTAAAGCACTCGGCCGTTCAAACCCACCAGCTGCACAATGGGAGAAAGATGAGGAGGCAGTCTGCTTCCATAAGGATTTACAGGCTTGGAAACCCGAGGAGACAGTTCTCTGTTGTACAGGGTGACCATGAATCAGAATCAACTTGGCCTTGGTTTGCTTTTTGGGGTTCTGTGTCTCATGAAGACATTTACCTCACAAGTCAGGGGAAAATGAAATAGTAAAAGGAAGTTAGGGCAGCTAAGATGCTCCTTGAAGTGAGAATGGCCAGACTTTGTCTCGGCTGCTTTGGTCATGTGGTCAGAAGGGATCATTCCTTAGAGAAGGATATCGTTCTTGGTGAACTAGAGGGTCAGTGAGTAAGGGGAAGACCCTCAGTGAGATATACTCCTTTTCTCGTACCTGCCCCTAAATTATATTATCTACCCCAAAGATGGTGAATTTGATGATGTCCTGTCCGTTCTCTTTCTAGCTTCAAAATCTATGCAAGAAGGCTGGGGCAGCGGTGGGGACGAAGTGAGCCTCAGCACCAGCCAGTGGGAGGATGAGGAAGGAGACGTGTGGACTAACACTGCTTCCCAAGACAGCACGTCCTCCTGCAGCTCCTGGGGCAATGCCCCTAAAAAAGGACTTCAGAAGGTGTGTGCACCCCAGAGTAATGCAAACTCCAGACACCAGTGGTCCTTAAAGCACATTCAGCAGAATGGTTGTCTTGCTCTGGTTGTCTGATCTCCAGAGGAGCAAAACTGTTGAGACATGTATGTGTACATGACGGAGGTTTTACTTCAAGGAAATGGCTCCCACAGTTAGGGATGTTGGCAAGTCCCACATCAATAGGTAAGGCAAGCTGACTCCAGGGCTTCAAGCCAGTTCAAAACGGTTCCATGATTGCTGTCGTAAGCAAGGGCCCCATGCATGCTGTATAGCAATTGAATTTATTACCAGCAGTGTTTTGACCCATGTAGTAAACAAACAGCTGTGCCCCTCTCAAAGATGGCAGCTGACCACGCAGCTTTGACTTTGTGTTGGTCTCCAGAGGCCTGCCACAGTCCTTCCTTCTCAAAGTCTTCGGAGCCTGATGCAAGAGATTGGATTACTGGCAGGACTGGAGATCAGCACACATTCAAAGTGGTGTGGTTGGCCTCCATCTTTGAGCAGGGCACAGCTGTTTGTTTCCTTGTTAGGTGCCGCTGAGTCATTTCCGACTCATAGCAACCCTCTGTACAACAGAATGAAACACTGCCTGGTTCTGCACCATCTTCACAATCCTTGCCATGCTTGAGGCTGTCATTGCACCCACTGTGTCAGTCCATCTCATTGAGGCTCTTCCCCTTCCTCACTGACACTCTAGTTCACCAAGAATGAGATCCTTCTCCAGAGAATGGTTCCTTCCAACCACATGATCAAAGTAGGTGAGACAAAGTCTGTCAATTCTCACTTCCAAGGAGTATTTTAGCTGCCCTTGTTTATGACAGTAATTACTAAACCAATTTGAACCATTTCCATGTCCTGGCTGCCTTACAAAGTTGTGAGGGCTGGTGAATCCCAAATCTACAAATCAGGTGGTAGGCCAGAGAATTTGCAGACTTGTCTCCTAGGAGCTGGGGGTCCGGCGACATGAAGAGTACAAGGTCTAGAGAGAGAGCATGAGAATTGCAGTCATATCCATTTATATATTGGAGACAGGCCACACCCCCAAGGAAACTCTGCTTTCGGCTGATTGGCTGATCACATCAGATTATATCATTGAAGGTGATAACACTGTATTACATTATGGAAGAGTGCCCAGTCCGTTGTCTGTCGCAACCACTGAGAATCATAGCTTAGCTGAGTTAACACACAACATTAATTACCACAGTGGTGGTTCACATTAATGGTAAGATAGGCCTGCAATTCTCTGAAGTGTAGTCTGAGGACCCCTAGAGGTCCTCCCAACTCTACTCTATTATTTATTTATTTATTTATTTATTTATTTAAACTTTTATTGTGTTGAAAACATATACAAAAAGACATTCACCAACATAAGTTCCGCATTGACAGCTCAGGGACATTGATGACGTTTTTCATGTTGTACCACCATTATTGTTATCTTTTCCAAAATATTCTACCACTATTAGCATAAATGCAATGCCCCAAAAACAAAAGCTTCCCCTTTCCCCCTCCCTCCTACCTCTGAGAACACTAATAGTATTTGGTACATATATATATATATATATGTACGTATATATATATCTGTATATATATATTTTTTTTTTCCCAAAACCTATCTTGGAATTTCCCCCTCCACCCCTCCCATTCCTAGTAACCAAGAAAGAAAGTTTCCTTCCATATATAAACCTTTCTTTGACTTTTTTACAAAGGAGATCTGGTGTCATGGTGCCTTAAGGTATCTGACTACTAACCAGAAGGTTGGCAGTTCAAACCCACCAGCCACTCTACGGAAGGAAGACTGGGCAATCTATTTCCGTAAAGATTCACTGCCTCAGACACCCAGTGGGGGTCACTGTGAGTTGGAACTGACTTGATGGCAGTGAGTTTCATTTGGTTTTTCAGTTTGGCATTTTACAATAGTAAAATAATAATTTTACTATAATATTTTATTAATAATAATAGTAATAAAATATTTGTCCTTCTGTGATTAACTTATTTCACTGAGCATAATGTCCTCCAAGTTCATCCACATTATGTGGTATTTTGCAGATTCTACATTATTTTTTAGCGTTGCATAGTATTCCATTGTGTGTAAGTACCACACTTTGGTTATCCATTCCTCTGTTGATGGACACTTAGGTTGATACCATCTCTTTGTTGTTGTGAATAGTGCTGTGATAAACATGGGTGTGCATATATCTGTTCTTGTCTTGGCTCTCACTTTCTTTAGGATATATATCTAGTAATGGGATTTCTGGATCAAATGGTATTTTTATTTCCAACTTTTTAAGGAATCACCATACTGATTTCCACAGTGGTTATATCATTTTACAGTCCTACCAGCAGTCTCCATAATTTCATCAGTATTTCTTTTCCATCTTAAACTTTGCTATCAATACTGAATGGTATCTCATTGTTGTTTTGATTTGCATCTCTCTAATGGCTAATGAAGGAGTGCTGGTGGTGCAGTAGCTAAGGCATTTGACTAATAACCAGAAAGTTGGTGGTTCAAAGCCACCAGCCACTCCACAGAAGGAAGATGGGGCAATCTACTTCCATAAAGATTTACTGCCTCTGAACCCAGTGGGAATCGCTATGAGTCAGAATCGACTCAATGGCTTTGAGTTTGTTTTGGTTTTTAATGGCTACTGACACTAAACATTTCTGCGTGTGTTGCTGGCTGCTGAATATCTTCCTTGGTGAGGTGTTTGTTCATATGTCCTGCCCATTTTTAAATTGGATTGTTTGTCTTTCTAATGTTGAGGTGCTGGAGTTTTCTATACATTTTAGAGATAAGTCCTTTGTCAGATATGTCATTGCTGAATATTTTTTCCCAATCTGTGTGTTCTCTTTTTACTCCTTTGGAGAAGTCTTTTGATGCACATAAGGGTTTAATTGTCAGAAGGTCCTAATCATCTAGTTTATCTTCTGCTGTATATTTTGGGTTATGCTTGATAGCCTATTTATACCTTAAATTAGGGCCCCTAAATTTGCCCCTGTTTTTTCTTTGATGAACTTTATAGATTTAGGTTTTGCATTTAAGTCTTTGATCCATCTGGAGTTAGTTGTTGTGTGTGGTGTGAGGTACGGGTCTTGTTTCCTTTTTCTGAAAATAGATATCCAGTTTTGCCAGCAGCATTCTCACAACTCTATTCATAACACACTGAGACTTTATCTCTCACCCCTTCTCTCCTGGTGTGGGGCGGAGTTACCCAGAGACTGCATGACATCACAGAGGGGTGAGCGCAGAAGCAGATGGGAGGAGCCAGCGGCTTGGTGAAGCCAGACTTGACATACAGCGGCCAGCATGTGAAATAGTGTCAATCTTCTCACTGAACGTTTCTGTTTCAGAAAATGTAATTATTGTTTCATTAAACATGTTACTTACTTTAACTTACAATAGATGCATTTTTCAACAAATTAATTCCTATTTTTCGGGTTTCTCGGTGTTAATTAAATCCAGTACCTGCAGGAAAGCGTAGTCCACGTAGACAGAAGCTCTCTGGAGTCCCCCATTCTTGAGAGAGTGTGATAGAGGTAGACGGTTAAATGGGCCTGAAACGAATGGACAGCCACCTGGAAAATGGCGTTAGAGCCATGGCTTATATACGCTCCAGGATGAACTCCAGAGGATCACGAATATCAGTATGAAAAAACGAGAATTTTCAGAGTCACCTTGGGGTGGGAGAGGCTTTTCTCACTATTCCCAAAATCTTAAAGCCTTACAATGAAAGATGTTGAAATTTCACTAGACAGATAAAAACTAGGTATAACAGAAAATACCATGATCAGAGTCCAAAGACAGATGCCAAACAGGAAACTATCTGTGGTTCCCATCCTAGAAGGCAGGCTTGAACTCCCTAGCATTCACAGAGAGGCCTAGAGACTAACTTAGAAGAAGTCAAACAGCTGAAAGCCCGGTCAAAAAACGAGCAAAGAATGGGACTAGGTGGCCCTGAGAAAAGAGCATGGGTGACGGGGTGCTCCACCGGCTGCGGTTGAGAGAGCGCGACTGGGGACAACCCAGGGAGGCCGTTTTCCACCCCGGGCACCCAAATGGCAGTGCACACGCTGTGTTTGTGAGGCTGCAGGGAAAGCCAGGCTCTTGTCCGCTACTGGTGGGAGTAGAAGCATCCTGCCTTTTGTTGCTTTTAGAGTAAAGCTTGTGAGGGACACATGGGGCCACTCAGTGTTACCGGTTTAACGTACAGCTGCGTGAGTCCTGGGGCTGTAGCGGAGGCATTGGCACACGATTCTGTATTGCAGCATTTTTATAGTAGAAAATAGGGTTTAACAGTGACAATAACTTATAGGTACACTGGAAAGCTGAACAGGTTTTTTTTTTTTTTTTTTTTTTTAATAAAAGGAAATTCTACGTCCAGGTTTCCTCTGCTGTCAGAAAATAGAGCATTTCTGTGAGATCTTTTTGTCAGCAGAAATGGCATAAGACAGGAAAAGCAGTTAACACTCATTTCTGTGGGAGAAATACCTGAGCGTCCCTAGACCCACAAACCACCGAGGCGATCATGCCGAATGGCACGTGAAGCCTGAAAGAACCCTGGTATGTGCGTTCACAGGCACCGTTCACAGCTCTGGTGGCCTGACACTGAGACACTGAGTGTGTTCTCGGGAGGAGCGTGGCAAGGCCTTCCTGGCTGTTCAGGGGCACGCAGCCTCTTTGACAGCTTGCTGCGGAACAAACAGAGGGAGAGTTTGGCTTTTCACCTTTTTTGTGTAAGCGAAAACCCTCTTCAGGTTTCTCGTGGTTAGCAGAAACAGGCACTAATTAAAGATAGGTCTTTCGTAAAAGCAAAGTACCATAAAGTGAACTTTTGACAAGTGAGGGATACTTTATATTGGTAAGTTTAGCAAAATACGTTGTTAGATAAAAATGCAAGATATGGAAAAATGTATAGTGTGCTACTGATTTGTTGACGGGGGAGGGTTGTGTGTGTGTAATGACCACCATAGACTTAAAAAGGCTCTGGGCAGGTGACTAGGACACACCGTGGTCTCCTCTTGAGAAGAGGAGCTAACGTGAGGACCTTCCCTGCGCACCTTTTTAGACTTCTGAATCATATGAGTGTTTTAGCCATTCCAAACGATTGAACTAGAGAGAACGTTCAGTAGGGTGAACCCAGAGGCCAAAATCTGGGCTCTCTGTTCATAAAGTGACCAGCAACATCCAGAAGTCTTTCCCATCTGGGCCAGCAAATCATCCACTTAGCGAGAGCACCAGAGATACCAGACTGGTCAATTCAGATACTGTGTCATCTTGGCTAGCCTGATTCTGGTACTAGTGATTACAATAGCCCCAAAATACACTACCTCCTTGAGGAAAAAAGGCCTGTTAGTTTACTGTCTCCCCGTACATAGCCGAGGCACTCTGGTGCTGTAGTGTGTAAGGCACCTGACTGATAACCAGGGTTGGTGGTTCAAACCCGCCAGCTGTTCTGCAGGAAGATGAGGCTGTCTGCTTCAGTAAGTATTTACAGCTTTGGAAATCCAGTGCGGGCAGCTCTGAGTCAGAATCAACTCGATGGCAGTGGGTGTCGTCTTGTTTGTTGTGTAACCTGTCGTCAGGTGGTCACGCCTGGTCCCAGTTCCGGGAAGAGCATGGTTAGAGGGCCCTTTGGTACATTGTGTTACTGTGCTGTGGCTGCTTTTGGCCGTAGGTGCAGAGGGAAGTCCTTGGTGGTCTCTGTGCCCCCTCTGCCTGTCTCCTGTCTCTAGGGCCGCACTCTCTTGCCTCTTCCCCTTTTCTCCTCCCTCAGCGACACTTTCCCACTGGTTCCTTTTCCTCCACCTGCGGCTACAGGACGTGAAATGTCGGCATTTTCCTCTCTCCATGCCTTTTCATTCTTTCAGAGCGAGAACCTGGCATTTTTTCATTTTTCAAGCAAGCTTATAAAAGGGCAACAGCCATGTACTTTTTCATAAATGTCACATGGTATTAGCATAGGGGCATATCAAGAGAGCACTCATCTTGATTTGATTATGGGAGTAGTGAGTATCTGTGGTGAACTAAATTAATTCATTGAGGACGAGAAATAAAATGGTCCTGCTTTGTAAAGCCCATAAATCACATACATACATAAGCCTACCACTGCACCCTGAAGCATTACGTACGGTGTTGATACCCATGGTGGTGGAGTCCCATGGCGTTGGTACTCATGATGTAGATACCCATGGTGGATACCTGTGGTGTTGATACTCAGTGTTGGATCCCCTTAGTGTTGATACCGTGGGGTTGGCTGCATGCCACCTGCAGTCTGGATCTCCACAGTGTCAGATACCCGTGGCGTTGATACCTATGGTGCTGGATGCCCGTGGTGTTTGATACTCATAATATTGGCTGCCCATGGTGTTGCCCACAAAATACTGTTAGGAACTTGCTGGAGTACAGAACTATTTAGTGTTAATACAGAAGGATTCGTGATTGAATCACCATGACCATAGGCAGAAGACATACAATGAGGAGTAACTAACAGACTGCCCACGCCCACGTTCTGTTCCAGGGCATGAAGACATCTGGCAAGCAGGACGAAGCCTGGATCCTGACGCGGCTCATCAAACAACTCACCGACATGGGCTTCCCGGTGACTGGCCTTCTTCTACTGCACCACTCATGGTCCCCAACATGATGGGCCTCGCGTTTTCCTTGTCCGTGTTGTTACGTATAACGAGGATGGAGCAGTATTTGAGGGATGAGATAATTCACATAACCTAACTTGTGACTGTCGTGAAGGATGCAAGGGCCTTTTCCTAGAAGAAAAATGCTGTATGATTTGTTAATTTTCATTGGTTTATACAGCTTTATATTTTCTTCTAATTTATAATTAAGAGTTAATTCTTTAGTTTATGTGGTAGATGACAAAGAGCACTAAAGGAGAGTAGGTGTAAAGCCCCAAAGCTTTGCGACCAGAAGGGGCCTCCCCCAAACCTTAGGGGCTCCTGAGTCTCAGACAGTATGGGTGTGCCGCCATAGGGCTACCCTCTGTCTCCTTCCCAAACTGACAGCAGGGACTTGGGCAGCAAGGGCTGCTAGCGTCTGTCCTCTGTCCCCTCAGAGGTCTTCCCTCCAAATCTTGACTTGAGAGTTTTTCTCTTTTGATGGCTGGGGGAGGCTGCTTCCCCTTCACACTGGCCCCACCCTGCCGTGGACCAGGCCTCAGCCTTCTGCCAGCCTTCTATGTGGAGTGGCGGGGGGAAGGCTGTGCTGGCCAGAGGGTTTGGAGCACAGCGAGCTGGCCTAGCCCTGGTCTGGAGGCCAGGCTTCCTCTGACGCAGGCCCAGTCACAGGGAGAATTCTCTACACGGGCCTGCTTTCCGTCTATTTGTGTTTACATTTCTTGTGAGAAGTAGTTGACAGTAAGTAGATCCTTGAGCTGTGAGGGAGAGGATGGAGCTCTCCCCATCTGATGTGACCCGTCACAATGGCTTTGCCACAGCTGCTGGCAGTGGAGGTGTGGCTTGTGCCCGTCTGCACAAGCTGTGCCACACGGCCTGCCCCTGCTGTGTTGCTCCGCGGTGCTGTTCAGTAGATGGTGAGGAGCGTGCTCACGGGGTCTCATTGGCTGAGGAGAGCGCTCACGGAGTCTCATTGGCACTTCACACTTACTGTTAAAGTCTTTTGAATAGAATTTACTAAAAGTCAGCTTGAGACATTGTCTTACTAGCAGTGTGTTCTTTAGATGACACTTAGCTATAACTCAGCAGTGGGACTTGTTCCCCTCATCTCTCTCAGTTGATAGGCTTTTCCTCTCAGAAGCATAGTCCTAATGACAGCTCTGTTTCCTGCACAGAGAGAACCAGCTGAAGAGGCCTTGAAGAGCAACAGTATGAACCTCGATCAGGCCATGAGTAAGTCCCAGGATGTATTTACAGTCACTCCCTAAAAGCTCCCTCCCTAAAGGCACTTCTGGTGTCTCATAGAGCATTCCATTGTCGGCCTGGACCCTGGCCAGGGACGTGTTGGGCAGACAGGATGGGTGAGGACAGGAAGAGACAACCCACACGACAGGAGCAAATCCCTCAGGATGGCCAGGGGCCCACTGGCAGCATATTTCCCCCATGACGCATCACCCAGGGGATAGCTGCATGTTTCCCATCCATTTGGGAGGAACATGACAGTGACACCCTTAGAGAATCTAGGGTTGCCTGCTGGGGTGCATGCAGTTGGTGCTTGTGGAACACTCAGTGCCTCTCACTGGAGAGGGTGCTGCTGGGCCAGGTACAGCCATGCCAGCCAAGTGCCCACTGGTACTGAGAGACATTTACTGTCAAGGCACGAGGGACCCTAGTTCTTGAGCTGTTGCATATGTAATGGTAGTTACGCTACATACGGGTAAAACGCAGTTGGGTGCAGGTGTAAATTGTGTGGTGCAGGCTTCCTGGGCAAGAAGGAATCACTGTGGGCTAGAATGACGGGGAGTCAACTTCTTGGGATTGTGAAATAGCACAGAATTCAAGGGAGCTGGCCTACCACTAGTTGGTAGACTGAAAAAGCCATGAGGATAGTAACTGCATCCTCACGCATAGCTCGCAGACTGCCTGCGTGTAACAGGGACTCAGTACATGGAAAGTGACGGCCCCCAGCCAGCCGGCCGGAGGAGCTATTCTAGACAAGCTCATAGGCATGGCTCTGAGAGCTGCATGGTGGATGCCTGCATGCTGGGAAGAGGCAAGCCGGGTAGGTGCATCCCAGCGGGAAAAGGGCTGGCTGGAGGGGAGCCAGAGAGCAGAGCAGTAGGAAGTGGGTCGGAACAGCAGGCAGATCCCAGACGGCCAGGGGAAGCAGCTAGTGCCACAGATGTCTGGGCTCAGACCGTGGCCACAGCCACTCCTTTCTCTGGCCAGGAGGGCGCTAAGTGGTTGCTGGGCCCTGAGCTGTGGTGCCTCACCACCCGCCTGGCGCTGGGCATGCAGAGCTCACTGACATTTCACGTCAAGTGTGGCTTCTTTGTGCTTCCAGGCGCTCTGCTGGAAAAGAAGGTGGACATGGACAAGCGTGGCCTGGGGGTGACCGACTATAACGGAATGGTCACGAAACCCCTCAGCTGCCGCCCACCAATCTCCAAAGAGTCTTCCGTGGACCGCCCCACCTTTCTGGACAAGGTAGGTGTTGAAGTGACCACTTGGTCACTTGTTTTTGGAACAGGAATTGATGTTCGTTTTAACTGAATCCCTAATGCAAGCCCAGCATAAACCTGATGGGATGTAATAGCGACGTGACTCGTACCTGCTTTTTCAGATGTGTGTGTAACACGGAGGAGAGAGATTTACACGTCATGTGATGTTTGGGGAGTGACTGATGCTGGCAGTGAATGCTGGTTTTCTGTTTGTGTTGCGTGCTCTTGCCTGGGCATCTGCTTCCATCTGTCCAGGCAATGGGCTGCTACAAACCTGTTTCACTATCTTATTTCGAATACCCAGTCCTTCCAACTAAAGACAGTGTGTTCTGTGTTTAGCCTCAGAGAAGGCACTGGGAATGGGAGTGGCCTTGGCCACCGTGTTTGGCTGGTCCTTGCTGGGGTTCCATCCCTGCTCTGCCACCTCAACAAGCATTGCAGGTGTCACCTGGCACCGTCCTGCTGGGCTCAGTCGTGGGGTGCTGGCCCCTCTCTGGATGGGTGTGACCGCCAAGCGAGGAGGGGACCACATGAAACGCAGTCAGAATGTTGAACCTTGAGAACGAAATGGAAACAAGAAAGGACCAGTTGGCAGGACCTGCAGGCAAAGTCTAAGTATCACCCTTGAGACTTTACCTTTGTTCCCTAACGAACAGGGTCTCCCAGCACACTCCACTGCAGGCTAAAGTGGAGTGGGCTAGACAGTGAAGGTCAGCTGCTCACTGTGGCCTTCACTAGTTGGGCAGGGCTGGGATAAAAGATGGGACACCTAGTTCACCTTGAATTTCAGGTCACCAGTGAGTAATACACAGGGCACGATTACTAAAGGAGTGAGTGAGTTCTTGTTCGTCTGAAATTGCAGTTTAAACACCTCCTCTGTTTGTATTTGCTGGAGCTGGCAGTGCTGCACACGGGCCCTGTTTAAAGGTGGACTAATGCTCCCCCCCTTGCAGTGTACACGCAGCGAGATGGGATAAATGTGCAGAGCATCTGGCACATAGCGCAACCTCAGCAAGTTCAAAAAAAGGGGGAGTGGGGGGGACAGTCGGCTTCTGTCTGCGCTCCCTACAGTGTAGGACTTGAACCGGATGAAACGGCTGTTTCCACAGGTGGGAAACAGTTCACGTCAGCAGATTCAGTCTAACACGTGCCAACAGCCTTGGTAAAGAACCTCCCCAAAGGAGCCCGTTGGTTTGCTGTGACTGTGGTCCGCTCTGTCCTTTTCGCCTCCTCCCTCCCCCAGGCAGGGCCAGTGACTGAGCACATCACAGGGTCGTGTATGTCTGTGTGTGTTTGTGTGTCCGAGTGTGTTTTGTGTCACTAAAGTGATTCAAACATGAAAGCACTCGCTTAAAACCCTGTTTCTCTTTTTCTTCCTCCCTCTTCCTTTCGCCCATGTTCTCCATGGCCTTACCCACAACTCTCTTGATCTTGTAATTCCTTGCTCATCCATGCCCTTCTGTCTCCTGGAAAAAGCGGTGGCCTTGCGCACAGCTCACGCTCTCTCTCTCCACACAGGACGGCGGCCTCGTGGAAGAGCCCACTCCTTCACCGTTTTTGCCTTCACCAAGCCTGAAGCTCCCCATCTCGAGCAGCGCACTCCCCGGGCAGACCCTGGGTGGGCTTGCCTCCGGGCTGGGCATGCCAAACTTGAATTCTTCTAGACAGGTAAGGCATTGGCAGAGACCAGAGTCTGGCTCTCCTCCGCCTGCCTTTAAACAGTGCATTTGAGAATAAACGTTAGGACTCCCAGTCAGGTCCTCAGAGGTGGTGGAACAGGTGTCCGGCCTACCTGCCGGTTGACTGGAATCAGGACGTGAACAACAGCTCTTGACTAGACTGTGTTCTAGGGAACACTTCAGAATTGCACTTCTTTTCCTCTCACCTGACAGATGTCTGAGCCTTCATGTTCTAACACTGCTGTTTGGGGTAGCACGCTGCAGCGGCAGCCCCTCGCCACATCCGTCCCTGGACCTAGTGGTGCCTGCCCCTTCTCACACTGACCAGAGCACCGCTCGTGCTGCTCTGTGGGATACACTGCGTCCTCCCCTTCTCCACACAACCTGGGCTGGCTTCGCTTCTGTGGTTTCGGTGGTTTTAGAGAGTCATGGGTACAGTGTTCTCCCACCTTGAGCGCTCTTTGAGCAAAGGTGAAAATCCTGTGTTTAGAGTTAATACAACGGGAAATGCCTGTTGGATTGGAGAGCCTCCTTCCTCATTGATTCCCGTGGTGAGGTTCCCACACACACGTCCCCTTTGAGGTTTTCTTTAAGAGATGCCCTTGGGGTGACCGAGCACTGCCCCCCGCCTCCGCCAGCTGCAGCTGGTTCCTGTGCGATTGTCAGCAGTAGCACTGCCCCTCCACCATGCCCCCTGTATTTGATCTTCATGGACTTGCCTTGCTAGCCCTGGTTGGTACCTTCTAGTCAACTCTGACGCGGCAGCCCTGTGTGCCCCACAGGGTTTCCCAGGCTGTGCTCTTTACGGGCCCACTTTGCCAGATCTTCTCTCCCACGGAGCTGCTGGTGGGTTCCAAGCACTGGCCTTGTGGTTAGCGGTTGGGGTGGGGCCTGGGCCTTGGCTGTGGGCAGGATTGCTTACAGAAGTCTCTTCTTGAAAAGCGTTGTCATTTCTCTGACTTCACCTCTTCAGTGGGTAATTCGTCATGGTAGAGGGGAATTAGAGCTAAAATACTGGAACAAACACAATATTAACTAGTGAGTTTGTTGATTTATTATACATCAGGGTTTGTTGCAACAAGTGATACTTGTTTGGAAGTTTTACTCTTCTCTCAGGTTAGTAACACGATCGTGTAATTCTTTTGGAAATGTCAATTATTCAAGAAGCTATCTATGGGCAGTCCCTAGGTTACGAATGAGCTCTGTTCCTAAGTCTGCTTTTAAGCCAACTTTGTGCATAAATAAGAGCAGTTAGGTACGGTTCTTGTCTAACGTCGGTCCTGGTATACAGTGTAAAACTCCCTGCCATCGAGTCAACTCTGACTCAGACCCCCATTGGGTTTCCCAGGCAGTAAATCTTTATGGAAGTAGATTGCCCTGCCTTCCTTTCGAGGAGCAGCCAGTGGGTTTGAACTGCAGACCTTCTGGTTAGCAGTCACATGCCTTAAGCACTGTACCCCAGAGCTCCTTAATATAGAGTATAGGGCATACCTCTCTCTGTGCCAGTTGTGCTAAACCATCCTTAACAGAATGAAGTTTTGACTTACATCGCAAAGTAGCGCCTTTGTCCTTATGAGCCTTTGTCTGTATCTTAGTTTTTACTGAAACTGCCTTTAGGTGGCTTGGTTTCTAACTACAGATTGTGCGTATGTCAGGCCTTCGTAACCGGGAATGCCTGCCTTCCGTTGCTCTTCTTTGAAAACGCTGCATTGTCAGAGTCTTTGAAGTGGCAGCCAGATGGGGGCAGTGTTGCACTGCTGGTGGCTCCTAGCCACCTCTCCATCACAGGGCCCTGCATAGACCTCACTTGAAGGCTCCACATGGTGCCTGCTGGCTGATCTCGCAGAAAGTAGGCACAGGCGTGCATTTACACGCAGGAAACAGCGTGCCTCCTCACAGGGTAACGTTGTCCTGCTGGGGTCTCCCTCCAGATCCCGAGTGGCAGTCTGGGTATGTTTGGCAATAGCGGAGCAGCACAAGCCAGGACCATGCCGCCGCCGCCGCCGCCGCCGCCAGCGCAACCTCTCAACTCCTCCCAGCCCGGTCTCCGTGCTCAAGTGCCTCAGTTTCTCTCCCCTCAGGTCAGAGCCACCTCCTGCAGCCGTGCGTACCCCTCATGTGATCCAGGGCAAGAGTGAGCCTCCTTGCTTGTCACCTCCTCCCCACCAAGTCTCATGCCCCCAGAGACACCAGCACTCACTCCCGGGAGCGCCTTAGCTGGCAGACCAGGGCCAACATGCAGCTGGGCAGGAAAAGACAGACCCGTCACACTGCTTGATCCAGAATTGCATCCTGGTCCTTTTTGTGAAAATCATTCACGTGAACCCAGTGAATTCACCTGGACTAGTGGGAAGGAAAGTGACAGCCCAGGTCCTGCTCAAGGTGTGAGCCAGCTGTGCAGCAGCAGCCAAGGGTTGAGTGCGATGGTGGGTGTCCCTCCGATGCCACGGTGCAGGAAGGAACACACAGGGCTTCTGGGGCAGCTTGGCCTCAGCCGTCTCCAGGAAGGAGGCCGAGGGAGCGCGTGGCACCTGTGAGGAGATGGCCTCTTCCCCTGCCTCCTCCTACCACCCACACTTGGTCACATGGCCACACTCAGCCACAGGGAGCCGGGGGCTGTGGACTACATGGGTGGTGGAAAGACCAGGTGGAAGGAGAGAACAGATGCTGGGACACAGCTCCTAGTCCCCACGCACAGTCCCCCACAGCTCCCAGATGTCAGGCGTTGACACACCACCACGCTGCTGTCTCCATCCTTGCTATGTGCTATTATTTCTTTAAATTGACTCACCTTTTTAATTAATTTATTTTTAGAGAGACTTTCCATGTCAGCGTTTTCCTAATACCCTTCAGCTGACTTACAGTTTTTGAGTGCTCATCCACAGCCCACCAAACTCACCTTGCCTCTTTGTCCCATGGCTGGACAGGGCACACTTTGAAAACTTGGTCCAGAGCATGAGTTCCAACTGCAGTGGCTTCTGAGCCAGAGGGGCTGGCAGTTGCGGGTCCAGTGCATCTGCGCGTGCCAGAGGGGGTGGGCAGGAGGAGAGCCCCGGGGCGTGTCCACCCCATGAGCAGAGGGTAGGGAGTGGGGCTGGCAGCGCTCTCTGGAGAGAAACGAGAAGTGGTGACAGGTGGAAGGAGGGAGGGCCGTCCTGGGTCTGAACCCCTTGTGACGGTGATGGGGCGCTGTCTACAGAGCCGTCCCAGCAGCTGGTCTGAGCTGCCCTCTGAGGAGGCCCCCCGAAGCAGGAAGCGAGGCTTCTTCCCTGCGTCTCGCCCACCCTTTGGGCCACCATGCTGGCAGCTGGCCGGGGCGGTGCGTCTGCTTTCACTGGCAGAATATGCGGGCAGACCCTGAACCTAGCAAGGTCCTTTACAGCTGTGCTGTCTGAGGAAAGCGGTCCTTCTTGTCCTTGCTCTGTCTGTCTTGCCTAGTGACTCTGTTTTGCCTGGCAGCTCTACACTAAGGCATGTTACCAGTGATGTTAAAACACCCAGACGTTTGTAATGGCCGTCCCCATTTACTCGTGACATAAATACACTCGTCACTTGAGCCTCACAAGCATCAAGGAAGAGTAAGTATTTCTTAATGTAAATTCAGTGCTTAATAGTGTCCTTTGTGTTGAACAGGTTCAAGCACAGCTTTTGCAGTTTGCAGCAAAAAACATTGGTCTCAACCCTGCACTATTAACCTCGCCAATTAATCCTCAACATATGACGATGTTGAACCAGCTCTATCAGCTGCAGCTGGTAAGTGGCCAGGTCTACCACGTCACAGGACAAAGGCAGCATGCTCTTGTGGCGCATGCCGGGCCAGCAGCACACACTGGCGTATAGTGGTAGGGATAGGGTGCTTCTCTTCACATGGGGTGTGCCATCCTCAAACCGTAGAGGGAGAGGGCGTTTCACTCAAGGACGCTTCAACAAAGCTATGTAAATGCGTGGACCCCGTTGTGTTCAGAAGGTTGACCAGATCTTCTCATCTGATGTGGCTTCTGGCTTGATCTCTCTGCCAGCCTTTCTCATCTGAGCCACAGACACAAAATACCATCTGTGACCCTTTCTTTGCTCTCCCAAGGGTTGCACACAAGTAGCGTTCAGACACACAGAAGAGAAGTTGGGAGATACCTTAGAGCTTCGGAAGGAAAGACCTTGGGGACCCCGGTCGAGAAGGCTGGCGTAGCCTCATAATTCCTGAAAGTTTTGTAAAGTAACAAATGTTGAATTCTTAATTTTCAAAGTCTTCCTGCTCTTACTGGAAAGGGCCATGTCATTGTACCCCTAAGTGCCCACTGTGTTAAAGCACCGAGCATACTGTCCCATCCTTTAGTGAGCTGACACCGATTTAATCATAAGTCTTATCTGGCAATGTCGTCTCTTGGGAAATGACCAAGAATCATGAAGGAAGCAGCCTAAAACCTTTGCTCCTGGGAGAGCCCCAGAGCCCTCAGCCCTCCCCCTTCTCTGTTAGACACACGTCTGACAAGCTAAGGGCCTGGTTTTCTGATAGACGGTTGGTGGGAGACGAGTGTGTCCTGGGCAGGTGCTGTGGGCCGTAGCGCTTATGAAGTGGAGCGCGCTGGATGTTTCCTTTTCCCAGATGGGGGGGCAGTGGCACCCCACAGCCCAAGGGGAAGTTGCGGGAGGCCTGGCCATGCTGGGTCGGGGGATCCCAGCGTAAGGGGCTGTTGTGTTCATGCTGCAGCCACAGAACAAGACCCCTGACCACAGAGGAGGAGAGAAGAAAACTGCAGGATGAGACGGGTTACAAATCATGTTTGGAACTCTTGCTTCAGAGGCAACTAGCTTTGTACCCTGGCCCCAATGGGAGAGAACGCTGCACCTACCCTGCCACCATGGTGCATACTTAGCATCCCTGTGGCATCAAAGACATTTTCACGGAAACACTGGGTTATGTCTCATGCATCCTGTTTGAAAACACTTCTGTTTTACAAAATTTTATCCACAAAAGTGGATAAAACAAGGTTTTGACGTTAAGTTTTAAGACCTACAGACATTCACTAGTTGGTGTATTTTATTTCAAAGTGATGTATTTTGTTTCTCCATAATGCCCAGATCAAACGGGCATGTCCAGGAGTACAATCTCTCCCTTTATTTATAGTTAATCTTAATAGGCCCTCTTACTGAAAACGTACGCATATGTGTGTTGTAAGAGTTACTCGCAGAGACCATCAGTGTTGGAAGCAGTGAAAAGGATCCAAGCCTTTTAGCACGCAGAGGACACCTTGACACCTGAGCCACGGGCTCACACTCACACTCGGGCCTGGTCTGAGCACGTGCTGCCTGGTACAAAGCAGCTTGAGTGCTGTCTCTGTCCCGCTCACTTGCTGGGTCGTCCCAGATGACGTAGTCTGTGTCACTGTAGGAACACTTCCGTTTTTGTTTCTGTTTCATTTTCCCTCATTCTTTCATTTTCAGTCTGTATGATGCAGCAGAATAGTTTTCATCTCTTTGTTAATTGAACACCATTTGCTGGCAGACTTCATTGTCTGCACGAGAGCATTGGTGGTTACTTGTTACAGATCCATGCACTAAAAGCATTTGGGAGAGACCTGTGTCCTTTTAAAAATGCCTGGTGGCCCCACCACACACATCAACCCCCACAGGATCAGGAAACCAAGCACCTTGGTCGTTTTTTCTTTTAACTCGTGAGCCATGTTCAGAAATTCAGTCTGTGCTTGAAGGCCTTCCTGTGACACCTTCTCTTTCCTCGTCCACAGGCATACCAACGTTTACAAATCCAGCAGCAGATGCTACAGGCCCAGCGTAACGTTTCCGGACCCATGAGACAGCAGGAGCAGCAAGTGAGGGCCGCTCGGGTGGCCTCTCCGAGGCCTGGGAAGGAAGTGTCTGGGTGCGGGGATGAGAGGCCGCGGACCCCGCCCAGCCATGCTGACTCGCGTGCTCTGGCCTCCAGGTCGCGCGCACAATCACTAACCTGCAGCAGCAGATTCAGCAGCACCAACGCCAGCTGGCCCAGGCCCTGCTCGCGAAGCAGCCGCCGCCCCCGCCCCCGCCGCACCTGTCCCTGCACCCCCCTGCAGGCAAGGCGGCCGCTGACAGCTTCCCCCCACACCCCCCGGCGCCCGGCCTCCCGGACCTGCACACCAAAGAGCAGCAGTCTTCACCCAACACCTTTGCTCCGTACCCTCTCGGTGAGCGCCCCCGTCCCAGCTCCCCTCACTCTCTAGGTGAGCACCCCAGTGCTAGTCCCAGCTCCCCTCACCTTGGTGAGTGCCCCTGTCCCAGCTCCCCTCACTCTCTGGGTGAGTGCCCCGGTGCTAGTCCCAGCTCCCCTCGCCCTCCTGGTGAGCGCCCCGGTCCCATGCACCCCCAGGGGGAGGTACACTTTTGGGAAATGTGTACCTTCTGCTGACAGTTCTCCTCCCACCGAGCAAGCACTTTGTCCCACTCATGGCTCGTATCCCCTTGTCACTGTCCTCACAGTACTGGTCCTGTCAGCCTCCCCAGCACCTGTCCTTAGCTGGGAGAAATAGACGCTCCAGCTGTGGCCACATGGCTGCCTCCACACCCAAGTAGTGCATGTGCTTCAAAGTTGCCTGATGCAGTGAAAACTGGGAAAGCTGTAACGCGATGGGACTGCTGGTTTTCTGGGTCTCGAAAGTTTCCTGCCTTTGACAGGGCACAATCTCTCCACTTCTGTACCACTGTCTGTTGGTGGAGAGTGTCTGGGCTTTCATTCGCTGGCAGGTTCCACCGTACACTGGTTCTGGCTTTCACTGTGTTTCATTCATAAACTCTTTAGAGCAACTTAGGTGAAGTCAAATCACCAGAAGCAAAATGAAACCGTCCCTGTTATGTGTGACAGGACACTGTTGACAATTCTGGAAGAGTGTTTTTGACTTAGGGAGCTCAGAGAGGGTTGTCCTAAGCATTGGACTTGTTCTGTTTGTAAGTAAAATGAAAAGAATTACTGACTGAATGTAATCAAAGGTTATTGACTAATAGCATCATCTTAGTCCAGCACTGCTACCCCCAGAAGTGTGTTGGGAAGGAGACAGATGGTGTCTTTTTCTCCAGTACTGAGAGTTAACAGAGGAGGGTCTGGGCTGTCCATTGAAGGCTCGGCTGGTCCTCTGGGAGACCCTCAGGGTGCCATGCTTTAGGCGGAGAGCAGCCGCACCTGAGCAGCGTGTCTCGTTTCAGCCGGGCTGAATCCAAACACGAATGTAAACAGCATGGACATCACAGGTGGCTTGTCGGTGAAGGACCCGTCTCCGTCCCAGTCGCGTCTGCCTCAGTGGACTCACCCCAACTCCATGGAGAACTTGTCCAGTGCTGCTCCCCCTCTTGATCAGAACCCTGGAAAGCACGGTACGTGGGCCGGGGAGCCTGTGGTGCGAGGTGCTGCCCCCCTTCTTGATTAACGCATCTGCAGTGGCGAGAGCAGGGGAGCCGCGGCCGGGGATGAAGCCAGGATGAGGTGCCATGGGGGGCTGGGGCCAGGAACCCAGTTTCTCCTGCACCAGGAGCTTGCGGTTATTAATACCGTTGTCGTTTTTAGGTGCCGTGGGGTCAGCTCTGACTCACAGTGCCCCGTGTGCAGCAGAACCAGCTAGTGCCATCCTCCCAGTCACTGCTGTGCCCGAGTCTGTGGTGGCAGCCTCGGTGGCAGTTTCGCACAGAGGGTCTTCCTTGTTTTCGCTGACCCTCTACTCTATCAGCCACAGTGTTCTCCGGGGACAGTCCCTCCTGACAGCACGTGCACAGCAGCTGAGCGGAGGTGTCATCATCCTCGCTTCCGAAGCGCATCCTGGCTGGACTTCACCCAGGACGGATTGGTTCATTCTTCTGCCTCTGTGGCACACTCAGCATTGCTCGGCCTTCCTTAGCCATTGTCCAGCTCTCACATGTCTGTGAGGCGATTGGAACACCATGGCTTGGATCAGGTGCATCTTAGTCCTCAAAGGGACATCTTTGCTTTCTAACCCTTTGACAAGGGGTCTTTTGGAGCAGCTTTGCTCGATGCAATACACCATTTGATTTCTTGACTGCCACTTCCATGGGGGTTGATTGTAGATCCAGGTAAAATGAAATCCTTGACTACGTCAGTGTTTCCTCTGTTTATCGTGATGTTGCTTGTTGGTCC